GTCTTTGGTTCACTGCAGCTTTAAGCAGAAAATACTCAGCAATGCTGTCGACTTATGAATTTACACATGGTTTGTCTTAAAGCATATTAAAAACACCATATAGACATATAAACAACATTAAAAGCTTGACTTTCACCACAGGGGGACTTTAAATATATTTTGAGTTTATAGATTCTCTCAATATTGGTAAAGATTTAAATTTCCCCTTGTGATATCAGGTGACTGTCACATGACTAGTTGATTGCAGTATAAAATGAGTCTGAGTGTGTTGCTTTTCCACACCCTGACGGTTATATGTGATTGTTTGTAAAATGTTAGTCACAAACAAATAAAGGCTTTATATATTGTTTTTTTTAAATTATCGAGTGCCTTGTATATATTTAATAGCTAATGATCTTCAGTGTCATACTCTACTTATCTTCTGCCATTGAGTTCTAACAGATTTGATAATAAATGAATATAAAATAAAATAATAATAATAAAATAAGCTATCAATATTAACACAAAACATTTATATTTATAAATTATATTAATATTTAAAAGTATTAAGTGAAAAAATTGCTGTCAGCTATTTTTAAAAATATTAATACTAATTGATAACAATAAATCTATTTATTTCACAAAGTATAATAATTAATAAATAATAGTAATTAAATAACAATACAATAAGCTATTAATATGAACTCAAAACAATACAAAATATTAATTAATATTGTATTCATATTAAAAGGTATTAAAATGAAATAATAGCCATTATCTATTATTTAAAAAAAGAAAATTAATTAATAATCAAAATATTTGAATTAATAAAGAATAATAATAATAAAATGAGCAAATCTTTCACACTAAACAATGTTATTCATATTTACTTAGTATTAAAATAAGAATAGCTGTTTATGAAAAATACACAATAAATAATAAAATTGCTTATTGCTAAATAATAAATAAATTGATAAAAATTACTAATATTATTAATATTAACAAATTATTAAAACAAACTATTAGCTGTTTATTTTTATATTAATAATAATTAAATAATAAACAAAATACATAATTAATTAAAAATTAATATTAACACAACAATGAATCAAGTCACCTTGATTATTAAAAATACTAACAGTAACTAATAAATATTGTTAGAATTCTTTCAATATGATTTCATCTTAGCTTTCAATATGATTTTATCTTAGCTTTCAATATGATTTCATGCTTACTTTTTTCGCAAATGAGTCATTCTTTACTTGCGGTTTTGTGCCCTTATTAATAACACCTGCAGCCACACACACATTTTTCTTCTCATGCGAGTCTAGATGTTGCTCTCGGCTGAATGCGGCCTGTGTTTGTCCTCATCACATGATGCATGTATTTATATTTGTCTGTTTATACATTTCATGTGCTATTTCTGGGTTTACAGTAGCTTATTTTTAATTTTTTTATTAGTGTAACCTTGTTAGCTGTGAGTTGTTTTCTGAGTCACCGGGTAGATCTGTTTCGAGAAAAGGGAAGTGTGTACAAGTGAGTGTTTCTCTAGCGCGTGACGGTGTGTGTCGGATCTGTGTGGTAAAGCTGATTAGCTGATTATCAGCTGTTGTGCTGCGGTTCGGCCTCACCGGTCTCGGGACACCACACACACACACGTCCAGATGACCCAGATCTCATCACTATGGGCATCAGAAAAGATGTTGTAATGAGTGTTGAATGAAGGTGACTTCAGTTGAGGTTTGTTCAGTTCACTAACCCTCAAGTAAGAGCCACTAAATAGTAAGGGTGTAACGATTCACACGTCAAATCATCGGTCTCAAATCCTGCCCATGCAATTGCGCATCTTTCTTAGAAACATGGGACTTTTTAATTGTTTATTGTTTGGATATAATCATTGACGTCTACGGTAGTGCAAATCACCTTTTGAAAGTAACTTGGCGCTTCAAATAACGATTGTATCATTACATCGTTACACCAGTAGGTGGCGACAAGTGACTGTTAAAAATGTGTTTGTCATTGAATCATTCATTCAAGAGATTCGTTCAAAAACGGTGATTCATCCAGTAATGAAACAAGTGAAGTCTTTATGAGTGAGTCATTGAATCATTCATTCAAGAGATTCGTTCAAAAACGGTGATTCATCCAGTAATGAAAAAAGTGATGTCTTTATAAGTGAGTCATTGAATCATTAATTCAAGAGATTCGTTCAAAAACGCTGATTCATCCAGTAATGAAACAAGTGAAGTCTTTATGAGTGAGTCATTGAATCATTCATTCAAGAGATTCGTTCAAAAACGCTGATTCATCCAGTAATGAAACAAATGAAGTCTTTGAGTGAGTCATTGAATCATTCATTCAAGAGATTTGTTCAAAAACGCTGATTCATCCAGTTATGAAAGTGAAGTCTTTATGAGTGAGTCATTGAATCATTCATTCAAGAGATTCGATCAAAAACGCTGATTCATCCAGTAATGAAACAAATTAAGTCTTTATGAGTGAGTCATTGAATCATTCATTCAAGAGATTCGTTCAAAAACGCTGATTCGTCCAGTTATGAAAGAAGTGAAGTCTTTATGAGTGAGTCATTGAATCATTCATTCAAGAGATTCGTTCAAAAACGCTGATTCGTCCAGTAATGAAACAAGTGAAGTCTTTACAAGTGAGTCATTGAATCATTCATTCAAGAGATTCGTTCAAAAACGCTGATTTGTCCAGTAATGAAACAAATGAAGTCTTTACAAGTGAGTCATTGAATCATTCATTCAAGAGATTCGTTCAAAAACACTGATACGTCGAGTTATGAAACAAATGAAGTCTTTATGAGTGAGTCATTGAATCATTCATTCAAGAAATTCGTTCAAAAACGCTGATTCATCCAGTAATGAAACAAGTGAAGTCTTTATGAGTGAGTCATTGAATCATTCATTCAAGAGATTCGTTCAAAAACGCTGATTCATCCAGTAATGAAACAAATGAAGTCTTTGAGTGAGTCATTGAATCATTCATTCAAGAGATTTGTTCAAAAACGCTGATTCATCCAGTTATGAAAGTGAAGTCTTTATGAGTGAGTCATTGAATCATTCATTCAAGAGATTCGATCAAAAACGCTGATTCATCCAGTAATGAAACAAATGAAGTCTTTATGAGTGAGTCATTGAATCATTCATTCAAGAGATTCGTTCAAAAACGCTGATTCGTCCAGTTATGAAAGAAGTGAAGTCTTTATGAGTGAGTCATTGAATCATTCATTCAAGAGATTTGTTCAAAAACGCTGATTCGTCCAGTAATGAAACAAGTGAAGTCTTTACAAGTGAGTCATTGAATCATTCATTCAAGAGATTCGTTCAAAAACGCTGATTTGTCCAGTAATGAAACAAATTAAGTCTTTACAAGTGAGTCATTGAATCATTCATTCAAAAGATTCGTTCAAAAACACTGATATGTCGAGTTATGAAACAAATGAAGTCTTTATGAGTGAGTCATTGAATCATTCATTCAAGAAATTCGTTCAAAAACGCTGATTCATCCAGTAATGAAACAAATGAAGTCTTTATGAGTGAGTCGTTGAATCATTCATTCAAGAGATTCGTTCAAAAACACTGATACGTCCAGTTATGAAACAAATGAAGTCTTTATGAGTGAGTCGTTGAATCATTCATTCAAGAGATTCGATCAAAAACGCTGATTCGTCCAGTAATGAAACAAATGAACTCTTTATGAGTGAGTCGCTGAATCATTCATTCAAGAGATTCGATCAAAAACGCTGATTCGTCCAGTAATGAAACAAATGAAGTCTTTATGAGTGAGTCATTGAATCATTAATTCAAGAGATTCGTTCAAAAACTATGATACGTCCAGAAATGAAACAAGTGAAGTCTTTATGAGTGAGTCATTGAATCATTCATTCAAGAGATTCGTTCAAAAACGCTGATTCATCCAGTTATGAAAGAAGTGAAGTCTTTATGAGTGAGTCATTGAATCATTCATTCAAGAGATTCGTTCAAAAACGCTGATTCATCCAGTAATGAAACAAATGAAGTTTTTATGAGTGAGTCGTTGAATCATTCATTCAAGAGATTCGTTCAAAAACACTGATACGTCCAGTTATGAAACAAATGAAGTCTTTATGAGTGAGTCGTTGAATCATTCATTCAAGAGATTCGATCAAAAACGCTGATTCGTCCAGTAATGAAACAAATGAAGTCTTTATGAGTGAGTCGTTGAATCATTAATTCAAGAGATTCGTTCGAAAACGCTGATTCATCCAGTAATGAAACAAGTGAAGTCTTTATGAGTGAGTCATTGAATCATTCATTCAAGAGATTCGTTCAAAAACGCTGATTCATCCAGTGATGAAACAAATGAAGTCTTTGAGTGAGTCATTGAATCATTCATTCAAGAGATTCGTTCAAAAATGCTGATTCGTCCAGTAATGAAACAAGTGAAGTCTTTACAAGTGAGTCATTGAATCATTCATTCAAGAGATTCGTTCAAAAACACTGATACGTCCAGTTATGAAACAAATGAAGTCTTTATGAGTGAGTCGTTGAATCATTCATTCAAGAGATTCGTTCAAAAACACTGATACGTCCAGTTATGAAACAAGTGAAGTCTTTATGAGTGAGTCGTTGAATCATTCATTCGAGAGATTCGATCAAAAACGCTGATTCGTCCAGTAATGAAACAAATGAAGTCTTTATGAGTGAGTCGTTGAATCATTCATTCAAGAGATTCGTTCAAAAACACTGATACGTCCAGTTATGAAACAAATGAAGTCTTTATGAGTGAGTCATTGAATCATTCATTCAAGAGATTCGTTCAAAAACGCTGATTCATCCAGTAATGAAACAAATGAAGTCTTTATAAGTGAGTCATTGAATCATTCATTCAAGAGATTCGTTCAAAAACGCTGATTCATCCAGTAATGAAACAAATGAAGTCTTTATAAGTGAGTCATTGAATCAGTTTGAGTTGGTGTTTAGCGTTTTTACCACGCTCCTCCTCGTGTGTGTTTGAAGGGTCGAACTACGCCATGTCTAACGGGGGGGGTGGAGGCGGGGCCAGTAGCTCCACGCACCTGCTGGACCTGCTGGAGGAGCCCATCCCCGGCGTGGGAACCTACGACGACTTCCACACCATCGACTGGGTCCGGGAGAAGTGCAAAGACCGAGAGCGCCACCGCAAGGTAACAGCGCATGTGGGAATGATGTGAACCTTTAGATCATGGTTTGAGTAGTTCTACATCACACTAGTGTATGTGTGTGTGTATATATACAGCATATATGTGTATGTATGTATCAATATAGTTTTTTTTTTCATGATGTGGCTATTTTTAAATCTAATCACACATGAAAGGAACTTAATCTACTTTTATTTATTTATTTTTTAAACTTTAATTACATTTCATTTTTGTTTATTTACTTATTAATGTTTTGGGAGGAGCTTGAACTCCATCTTAATAAATTTTTTTAACTCCTCATTGGTATTTATTATTATTTATTGCTTCAGTATTTAAATTTTTGTATTTTTTCAGTATTGTACATATTTATTTATTTTTGGAATATTTTTGGAACTCAATCTCTACAAATTTATTTACTTTATTTTTGAAAACTGTCTCATTTTAATTTATTTATTTATTAAACTCCATCTCATATGCATTTATTATCATTATTATTATCTTCAGTATTTATTTGTTATTTATTTATCTACATATTTATTTATTTTTTGAAAAATTGAACACCATCTTTTATATTTATTTATTTTTGGAAATAAACTCAATTATGGAATATTTATGTTAAAATCAGTCATACGACACATTGTGACTCAGTGCGAGCGTAGTAACATATAAATGAATGTTTTTTTTTAGGCAAATGAACTTCCTGCTGAACGGGAAGTGATACTGTGGTGTTAATAGTGACCAGCTACTGGGAGTCTGTCACATAGAAACTTTAGAGTCGGCAGCTTTTTTCGCATCTGTATTTACTCATGTTTTGCTCATCCGTGTAGATAAACAGTAAAAAGAAGGAATCAGCATGGGAATTCACGAAGAGCCTGTACGACGCCTGGTCAGGGTGGCTGGTGGTCACGCTAACAGGACTTGCATCAGGTAAACACCACATACACACACACACACACGCTCTTGTACTATCACAATCTATCTTTGTGAGGTCATTCACTGACACAGTGCAATCTCTAGCTCCTTACCTAACCCTAAAGATCACACCTAACTGCCAAACACGAACCCTTACCCTGAACAATAATAATAATAATTAATAATAATCCCTAAAACCAAGTCTTGACCCTCAAACAGGACTTTAAACAGGGTCTCAGAAAGTGAGGACCGGCCAAGATATCCTTACTTTACTCTGTTTGTCCTCACTCTGATGGTCTCAAACTCAAACCGGTCCTCACAAAGATAGTCATACAAGTACACACACACACACACACACACACACACACAGCTTTCCTCAAACTCACTTTCACACATCTATCCACCCACTCACTCATTTGCACACAAGGTCGTCAGATGCTAGAACAAGCGACGTTGTAACGCATGTAAACAAATAAAAAAACTCATTGAATAAAAACATTTTGAGGAGAGCTAATCTGCAGTAGTGAGTCACAGTTATGTTAATTTAGTCATACTGCTGGTTAAATATGAATCTCTAGATTTAGTCCCCAGCTGTTAAACTAGTCAAGATGTAGAGGGCACTATTGCTGTCATTAATCTTAATGTTAATTTAATCCTGTTTTTTATTTTATTTTGTTTGATAAAAATACTGCAGGCCTGATATATAAATCTTATTTAAAAAATGTCAAAATATACTCTAGATTTCGTAATATATTGCTGAATGAGGCTAATGTTGTGTAGTCTTTTTAAAATAAATAGTTTTATTTATTTATTATATTCTATTAATGTATATATCGTACAGTGTTACTCATAGTAAAGAGAGAGTTTATAAATCAGACTTGCACACAGACATTTTCCTCCACAGATCTCAGTATCGTGGTCACTTAACACACACACACACACATCTTTGAGCCATAAGATTTAATCTTCTGATCACATTATGCTGAACTCAGCTTATTTCTTGAGCTAGAGCATTTGCATTATTTGTCAGATGTTTATTCAAAGCTACATGCAGTAAACCTATTACAGAAGTAACTTCACTGTAAAAAATGTGTTAAGTATTTTATCATTTGGCTTTCTATTGTACCTCCTGTATCATGGTGGTTATCAGTGCATTTTAAAGGGATAGTTCACCCAAAAATGAAAAGTCTGTAATTAATTACTCTCCCTTATGTTGTTCCAAACCCGTAAGACTTTCGTTCATCTTCGGGACACAAATGAAGATATTTTTGATTAAATCTGAGAGCTGGATCACTCCTCCATAGGCTTCTGAAATTTGCCGGCCCAAAAAGTTAAAATAGTCCGAGTGACTACAGTGGCTCAACCTTAAGTTTATCAAGCGACGAGAATACTTTTTGTGCGCAAAACCCCCAAAAAATAACGACTTTATTCAACCAGTGTTTCCTCTACATTAATTCTGCCGTGGCGGGCCACCACACCTAAAATCATCCCGCCACGGCTGCAGCTTCTCAGTGAGGTCCGATATTGTGCTTACTATTGTGTTATTGTTAAGCTAAGGCATAAAAAACATTTTAAAGCACCATAAAGTTTTCGCACTATATTCCAAGACTTCTAAAGTCCTTCAATAGCATAATGTGAGGTAAAAAAAAAGGGGATGGGGGGGAGGGGGGGGCAATGGGAATATCACTCATGGGCCACGCCCCCTCCCCATGGCGAAATGGGCCTGCCACCACGGCTGGAAAAAATCCTAGAGGAAACACTGTCAACTATTCATTTTCTTCTGTGTGGGCCTCGAGTGAGTTCACGTAGTGTAACAGCGCAGCGCTTCTGTGTTGGACGTCACACGCAGGCTCACCATTGGCCAGCATCACACGCATCACACACATGACCAGCGTCGGCCAATAGTGAGCCTACATTCTGACGTACAACCCAGAAGTGCTGCGCTGTTACAACTTTGTTGTCGTGTAAATGAACGGCAAAAACATAAAGTTTTCGGTTTTCAGTTGAAAGCGGTGTCATGTCAACAGCCCCTCAGGGTACGCCACGATAACGATGTATTGAAACGTTTTTCTTTTGTGTTTTTCGCGTACAGACGACAACTTGTCAAAAGAATGCCCGTTCACACTAGGGGTGTCCATGGTTAACCGATTAACCGTTAAAAATTGCTTAACCGAGTGAAACATTTTGCTCGGTTAAGTGGCGTCAATGGCGTGCATTGAATTTAGTTGTAATACATTTTTGCACCACCAGAGACCGCCAGAGCGCTCCCATACATTTGTAATGTCCACAAGAAGAAGTAGTCATGACTCATGACCAGTTTTCTAATATGAAGCGGGCAAAGAAAAGCACAGCGTGGGAGCACTTTAAAATCGAGAATGACGGGGCAAAATGCAAGTATTGCAATGAGATATAATATGAGATATAAGGTTAGATATACTTCAAGTACAACCTCGTTGTTGTACCATCTCAACAGCCAACACCCGGGCATCATTATGGTCTTGTGTGTTCACACCGAACGCGAATAGAGCGTCAAATAACGTTACGCGTCTATCGCGGCTAGCTTGAACATTCGCTCGAGTTCAAATTTTTCAACTTGCGCGGAAGACATTCGCGGCAAACGCGTCGCCCAATTCGCGTCATTCGCAACGCCCAGCGCGAATGATGCGTCTTCGCGTCTTTGCATTGACTTTGTATGTAATCACTGGCGCATATAATTAAATTCGCGTTCGGTATGAACACAACATAACTGCTCTGTCCTTACCACTGCGTTTTATTTCTATAAATTAATTTCGTTTTAAATGTGGTCCAACCAGTTATTAAAGGTGTTAAAAATGAACTACCCCTTTCGCGTGTGTCTGTATCTCGGGGTTGCGGCGCGCACACTATGGTTAACCGAGTATTAACCGCTAAGGGCCTCGGTTAACGGTTAATGAAAAACTTGAAAACGTGCAGCCCTAGTTCACACGGTTCTTCGAAAACGACAAAAAACACTCTATTATTCATGCGGGGCCATTATTTGGCGATGTCACTTTGTAAAGAAACTATGCGTGTATAGACTTTAGGTCCCCAAAAATCCCGTTGTTGTGTAAATGAACGTCCAAAATGCATGAAAAGTTTCCGTTTTTAGTCGTGTAAATGGCCTGTCAGTTTTGCCTGACTGAAACTTTCTATATCACAGTGGTTAAAGGGATCTCGGTAACCGTGGATCAGTCTTTCAATAGTGCTCGCTGCTTCATTAGTGCATGAAGATTTGCATAAATGCCTGTCTTCATCCTTGTCCCCTCAGGAGCGTTAGCTGGGCTGATCGACATCGCGGCCGACTGGTTGAACGATCTGAAGGAGGGCGTGTGTCTCAGTGCCATGTGGTTTAATCACGAGCAGTGTTGCTGGGGCTCCAACGAGACCACGTTTGCTGAGAGAGACAAGTGTCCTCAGTGGAAGACATGGGCTGAACTGATCCTGGGTCAGGCCGAGGTCAGTGTGTTACTTTATGTATACCACCGCTCAAATGTTTGGGGTCAGTAGGATTTCTTTTTTTTTTTTTGTAAGAAATTCGTACTTTTATTAAAGGTTCAGTCAGTGATTTCTGAGAAATGCTGTTAAAAATGGGAATCAACTCCAAAACAAACAATTTTGTAAATATTTGCTTGATGTCTGTTCTTTGTGTGTGTGTGTGTGTGTGTGTGTGTGTGTGCGCTGAAAAGAATGTTGTGTTTGTACATATTCCTGGCTGTGTAAAAAGGAGATAAAGTGAATTGGAGCAGCACAACACTCTAGTAGCCAATCAGCAGTAGGGGGCGTGTCCACTCATGATGGGGGAGGAGAGAGAGTGAGCTAATCAGCAGTAGGGGGCGTGTCCACTCATGATGGGGGAGGAGAGAGAGCCAATCAGCAGTAGGGGGCGTGTCCACTCATGATGGGGAGGAGAGAGAGAGCCAATCAGCAGTAAGGGGTGTGTCCTCATGATGGGGGAGGAGAGTGAGCCAATCTGCAGTAAGGGGCGTGTCCTCATGATGGGGGAGGAGAGAGTGAGCCAATCAGCAGTAGGGGGCGTGTTCACTCATGATGGGGAGGAGAGTGAGCCAATCAACAGTAAGGGGCGTGTCTTCACATGATGGGGGAGGAGAGAGCGAGCAAGAGGGAGATTTGAAGAAAGACTGTAGAAAGAGAGATGGCTGAGAGACATTACAAAAGAGAAAAGCTCAGAGGAATATCACTGGGAAAAGAAGGGTTATGATCAGGCAAGAGCTTTAGGTCCCGTGTTAACATTAGAAAAGCTTTCCAGCGCTGGAGAGACTGAAGCGGGAAGGCCTGAAAACAGATGCTGAGGTTGCGTTGTTTCTGCTCCATAAATGAGTAACATTGGTGTTTCACAGAACCAAGATATGTTGTTGTTGTGATGTTAGTTATAGTAACAGGAGAGTTTTGAGTGTTGTGTGTCTGCAGCTGCTTGCGTGCATTGCGTGTTCGTGCATTTTGGGGGAGGAGCAATGAAGAGAGGGGTGTGGCTGTCGATTTTCAAATATCAACAATGTTTCTCAGAAATTGCTTACTGCACCTTTAAGCAAGGATAACTTGATCAAAAGTGACAGTAAAGACATTTATTATGTAAAAAAAAAAGCTATTTAAAATAAATATATATTTTAAACTTTCTATTTGTAAACTAATACTGGAAACAAACATATCAAGCGGCATAACTGTTTTCAACATTGATCATAATCATAAGTGTTTCTTGAGAAGCAAATCATCATATTAGAGTGATTTCTGAAGGATCATGTGACTCTGAAGACTGGAGTAATGGTGCTGAAAACTCAGCTTTGATCACAGGAATAAATTACAGTTTACAATACATTCACGTAGAAAACATTTATTTTAAATGGTAGTAATATTTCACAATATTTCTGTTTTTACTGTATTTTTAATCAAATAAATGCAGCCTAGGTGAGCAAAAGAGACTAGTAAAAAAACCTACCAACCCCAAACCTTAAAAAATTAGTGTACACCAGATAAATTCAATTGATGTTCGTTTGGCTTTATTAATGGCTCTTGTCTGTGTCATCTAGGGTCCCGGTTCCTATATCATGAACTACTTCATGTTCACGTTTTGGGCGCTGTCCTTTGCCTTCCTGGCCGTGTCTCTGGTGAAGGTGTTTGCGCCGTACGCCTGCGGGTCTGGAATACCTGAGGTAATCCTGCAGAGCAATTATTGACAATAGACGCTAGTCTTAAAACAGGTTTTACCTGATATCTTAAGAAGAATATGATTTTTCCATTGGGTAACCAGTTTTCCTAGTAGGACATTATTGACGTGTCAATGATAAAACCTAGCATTTTTATGTTGTTATTATAAAAAATAAATAAAAAAGCTTAATTAAATCCTGAATTATATTAATATATATATTTAAATTGTCTTTCAGTTTTAGTAAGAGGTTATTCAAATCCTTATATAAAACAGACCTGCTTGCAAATCAAATTTGCAGTAATAAAAGTGTCAAACATCACGCTTTATTCATGATTTTCCTTAATTTTATGCCACCAACAAACTCATCAGTGTGAGTGTTTGTGATATGGAGCAGGGAAATGCTGCGGATTAAGATGTTCTTAACAGGTCAGGTGACCACTGAGAATCAACCCGTATTAGCTCTGATTTTGTCACTGTTTCTATGGTTACCAAAAGTGTTACGCAAGTTTTATAACAGCACTTAGTCTTTTCATCAATGGAGAGCAAAGGTCATGAAGAGAGGCGTGTGTAACCTTCAATAAATGTAAATCGAAACGACGAATTTCTTTGTTTGTAATTTATTTGATATGTTTTTATATACATTTTATAGCTTATTATGTAGATATACAGTAGTCAACATTTGAGGTGGATCACTACTGCGTATGATTATTAAGTATATATAAATACACATATGCATGTATATATTTAAGAAATATTTGCATGTAATATACTATAGTGTATTATATTATATATAAATAACACATTTTTCTTAAATATATACATACATGCATGTGTGTGTATTTATATATACTAAATAATTATCCACAGTACACACGCATATATTTTGTAAACACAAACTTTTATTTTGGATGCGATTAATCGTTGCCCTGCACTAATTATTTGATAGCTCAAACGGCCCCACTTCACACAACACTTGAAGGTTTTTTAATATGTTAATTGGTCATTCAAAATGTGTTTCTTGTGTTTTATAATCCTGCCTCTCTCTCTCTCTTCCATCTGTCAGATTAAAACCATCCTGAGCGGCTTCATTATCCGAGGGTACCTGGGCAAGTGGACCCTGATGATAAAGACCGTCACGCTGGTTCTGGCCGTGGCGTCGGGCCTCAGTCTCGGGAAGGAAGGTCCGCTGGTCCACGTGGCCTGTTGCTGTGGCAACATCTTTTCCTACCTCTTCCCCAAATACAGCAAAAACGAGGCCAAGAAACGAGAGGTCAGCCTTCAATCTGATAGGGTTACGTCAAAATCTGGATGTTAATACCTAGATGGGGATTAGGGTTGGGGATCGAATACTTCAGGTCAGGAATCGGATACTTGATAGAAAATGAAAATTTCGATTCTGACTTTATATCTCGCAAGTCTGACTTTATTTCACGCAATTCTGACTTTATTTCACGCAATTCTGACTGTATTTCACGCAATTCTGACTGTATATCTCGCAATTCTGACTTTATATCTCGCAATTCTGACTTTATATCTCGCAATTCTTATTTTCTAAAACGCAATTCTGACTTTATATCACGTAATTCTGACTTTATATCTCGCAATTCTGACTTTATATCTCGAAATTGCGACTTTATATCTCGCAATTCTGACTTTATATCACGCAATTCTGACTTTATATCTCCCAATTCTGACTTTATATCACGCAATTCTGACTTTATATCTCGCAATTGCGACTTTATATCTCGCAATTCTGACTTTATATCACGCAATTCTGACTTTATATCACGCAATTCTGACTTTATATCTCCCAATTCTGACTTTATATCTCGCAATTCTGACTTTATATCACGCAATTCTGACTTCATATCACGGAATTCTGACTTTATATCTCGCAATTCTGACTTTATATCACGCAATTCTGACTTTATATCACGCAATTCTGACTTTATATCTCCCAATTCTGACTTTATTTCACACAATTCTGACTATATCTCGCAATTATTATTTTATTTCACGCAATTGCGACTTTATTTCACGCAATTCGGACTTTATATCTCGCAATTCTGACTTTATATCGCAATTCTGACTTTATTTCATGGAATTCTGACTATTTCACGCAATTTTGACTTTACATCTCACAATTCTGACTTTATATCTTGCAATTCTGACTTTATATCTCGCAATTCTGACTTTATTTCACGCAATTCTGACTATTTCACGCAATTCTGACTATTTCACGCAATTCTGACTATCTCGCAATTCTTATTTTATAAAACGCAATTGCGACTTTATTTCACGCAATTCTGACTTTATATCTCGCAATTCTGACTTTATATCTCGCAATTCTGACTTTATATCATGCAATTCTGACTTCTAACTTTATATCTCGCAATTCTGACTTTATATCACGCAATTCTGACTTTATATTAGACATGTGCCGGTATTCGGTAATGTGATAAATCGCGGTAATGAATATGCACGATATTGTTATCGCGGGCACTTCAAAATACCGTGAAAAATAATAGATTATTTTTCATCAACCGCTTAAACACTAAACACATGCGCACTCTGATGTAAACAATCCCCACATGTATAAGCACTGTGTGCATGTGGCGCAGTGTGCACTCTAGTCTAATGTAAATAATCCTCACATGGAGTAGAAGCATGGCGGAAGGAGGAACGCTGCCGACGATTTACCCCCCGCAGGGCTGCCAACTCTCACGCATTCAGCTTGAGACTCAAACGCCTTACAGACAGGACGCGGAATACGCGCGTTACGTTTTGTTGCTGCGTCGACCAAAGCACGCCGGGGTCAAAGTTAAAAATAGTTCAACTTTTTATTTGCAAAATAGCAAATCGCGTTGTATCTGAAGGGCAACCTTGAACCCAGTGACCAGCACCGCGCATTCCGTGTCCTGTCTGAAAGGCGCTTTACACAATTGACACTTTTCACACGCTCTCACGCAGAGAAAAATCGCGGAGCAAAGAGGACACTGACACCGACAGACTAGACAGAGCAGGTTACTTTTGATATGAAAAAAATTAATAAAAATCAGCTCTTAGGTTCTGTACATTGTGACAGATCACTGCGCCTCAGTTCAAGTAAACCGATCATCTGTTCCTTTTTATTTAAAGATACAGTACAACGTACCAAAAGGTAAATGCCTCATACATAATATCGATCAATCAGTGTTTTTCAAACACGGAAAGAGGTCAATAAAACTGCAGGAGAACAGTTATGTCACAGAACGTTACATTTACCTCAGGAAAGCCATTTAATGACCAGCACATTAGTTGACTAGAAAAAATAGCGAGGAGTATTTGGCTAAATATGTGCACTATATTACATATTTATTATATGTTTACTTGTCATTACATAATTGTTATTATAATGAGAACCGCATTATATTTAATTTCTCTCTGTATGTGTACAGCATTATGTGATATATATTTTTGTACATGCAGACTGTAGCCTACCTAATATTTAACCAAATGAGTCAATATTGAATTAAGATTGAAATCATATTCAAGAATTTAATTGAATAATACAAACAGTAGCCTACAGTCATTGTACCATGTAAACATTGTAACATGTTGTCACTAAACTTAATACAATTCTGTTTAGTTACCATATGTTTTGAAAATCACAATTACACATTGTGATGCAAGTTTTTTTTTTTTTTTTTTTGGTACCCACAATCCATCTGTTTCTCTTGAGCAATTAAAATATCGTGATAATACCGTATACCGTGATAAAATCTCAATCAATTAATCGCAGCATGAAAATTTGATACCGGCACATGCCTACTTTATATCATGCAATTCTGACTTCTAACTTTATATCTCGCAATTCTGACTTTATATCACGCAATTCTGACTTCTAACTTTATATCTCGCAATTCTGACTTTATATCACGCAATTCTGACTTTATATCATGCAATTCTGACTTTATAACTCGCAATTCTGACTTTATATCTCCCAATTCTGACTTTATATCACGCAATTCTGACTTCTAACTTTATATCTCGCAATTCTGACTTTATATCACGCAATTCTGACTTTATATCATGCAATTCTGACTTTATATCACGCAATTCTGACTTTATATCATGCAATTCTGACTTTATATCATGCAATTCTGACTTTATATCAAGCAATTCTTATTTTCTAAAACGCAATTCTGACTTTATATCACGTAATTCTGACTTTATATCACGCAATTCTGACTTTATATCTTGCAATTCTGACTTTATCTCCCAATTCTGACTTCATTTCACGCAATTCTGACTTTATATCTCGCAATTCGGACTTTATATCTCGCAATTCTGACTTTATATCTCGCAATTCTGACTTTATATCTCGCAATTCTGAGAAATAAAGTCAGAATTGTGAGATAAAAAGTCACAATTACCTTTTTTATTTTTTCATTCTGTGGCGGGAACAAGCTTCCATAGAATATCTGTTTTTTGGTGTGTTTTTTTTTTACCTTATTGTAATCTAAATTAGGTATCGATAAGCAGAATTGTAATCTTTAAAACTGAACCGATACGCTAGCGGTGACGTGTCTGTCTGTGCGCTCAGGTGCTGTCGGCAGCTTCGGCCGCTGGTGTGTCGGTGGCGTTCGGCGCTCCGATCGGAGGAGTGTTGTTCAGTCTGGAGGAGGTGAGTCTCCCTTCACATCACACAAGACACCGTTTATTCCTCTGGAGTTGGGATGTCAAACGCAGTATAGATTTACACCAATGTTCAAAAGTTTTAAGTATGCTTTTGAAAGAAGTCTCTTCTGCTCACCAAGGCTGAATTTAGCCTATTTGATAAAAAATTTGATTAAAATTCCTGTGATCAAAGCTGTATTTTCAGCATCATTACTCCAGTCTTCAGTGTCACATGATCCTTCAGAAATCACTCTAATATGATGATCTGATGCTCAAGATACATTTATGATTATTATCAATGTTGAAGACAGAACCATGGTGCGTTTCAAAAGAACTGCATTTTAAAAAAAAACACACAGCATTTATATAAAATAGAAATATTTTGCAACATCATAAATGTCATTAGTCACTTTTGATCAATTTAATGCATCTTTGATTAATTCAAGTATAATTTATTTTCCTAATAGAGAAATGATAAACTGAATAGAATATTGGCCAAACTCATTTTTAACAGTGATATAAGCAAAACTGTATGTCACGATATTCTTACAATTTTGGTGACAACTATACACACATACATATATATATATATATACACACACACACACACACGATGTATATAAAAATATACATGAAAGAGCTTCATAAATAAATACACGTATAACCTTGATGAAAAGTTGTGATCCACTTCAAATGTTGACTACTGTATATATACACAGTGTATATATGAATATATATGAAAGAGCCTCATTAATAAATACAAAAACACTCTTATCTATATTCAACATTGTATTTTCCCCCTGATTAATTCCAGAGGTTTATCTAGTTGATGTGTGTAACTCAAGAAAAACATACTGTTCTCTCTCTCTCTCTCTCTCTCTCTCTCTCTCTCTCTCTCTCTCTCTCTCTCTCTCTCTCTCTCTCTCTCTCTCTCTCTCTCTCTCTCTCTCTCATCTCTCTCTCTCTCTCTCTCTCTCTCCTCCCTCCCTCCTCTCTCTCTCTCTCTCTCTCTCCTCTCTCTCCTCCTCTCTCTCTCTCTCTCTCTCTCTCTCTCCTCTCTCTCTCTCTCTCTCTCTCTCTCTCTCTCTCTCTCTCATCTCTCTCTCTCTCTCTCTCTCTCTCTCTCTCTCTCTCTCTCTGTCTCTCTCACTCTCTGGCTTCAGTCCTACTCCCTCGTCTCTCTCATCTCAGGGTCATTACTACTTCCGCTGAAGACGCGTGGAGTCGTTCTTCGCTGCTCTGGTGGCGGCGTTCGTGCTGCGCTCCATCAACCCGTTCGGGAACAGCCGGCTGGTGCTGTTTTACGTGGAGTACCACACGCCCTGGTACCTGTTCGAGCTGTTCCCCTTCATCCTGCTGGGGGTGTTCGGGGGCCTGTGGGGGGCCTTCTTCATCCGGGCCAACATCGCCTGGTGCCGCCGCCGCAAGTCCACGCGCTTCGGTACACACACTGCATCACACACCCGCTTTGGGCTGTTTTAGTTCTTTATTATAGTGGTTTCACAATATTGTGGTATCAAATAATCGTGTTGTGGTATCATTGTTATACTATTACAGTTAATTTTTTTAATTCGATTTTATTTTTATATTTTCTCTCTTTAATTGTAGTTTAGTTTTAGTAATTTTGTTTTGTAATTTTGTTTTAGTTTTTTTATATTTTAAAGTTTTAGTTATTTTTGTGTTTATTAGTTTTTAAAATATATTTTTTGTTAAAGTTTTAGTTGATTTGTTGTTTTTTGTCATCTTTATTAGTTTTTCTTTAGATCAGCATTTATCAGAAATAGAAAGCTTTTGTAACATTGTACACTTTTTTTTTTTTTGGAAAGAAATTAATACTTTTATTTAGCAAGGATGCATTAAATTGATCAGAAGTGACAGTAAAAAAATGTTCAATGTTACAAAAGCTTTATATTTCAAATAAATGCTGCTCTTTTGAACTTTCTGTTGATCAAAGAATCCTGAAAAAAATTACACAACTGTTTTCAACATTGATAATAATCATAAATGTTTCTTGAGCAGCAAATCATCATATTTATTTTTATTTTATTTTATTTATTTTATATTAGAGTGATTTCTGAAGGATCATGTGACACTGAAGACTGGAGTAATGATGCTGAAAATACAGCTTTGATCACAGGAATAAATTAGTTTACAATATATTCACATAGAAAACGGTTATTTTAAATTGTAATTATATTTCACAATATTACTGTTTGTTTTGTATTTTTAGTCAAATAAATGCAGCCTTGGTGAAAGTAATAAAAAAAAAATCCCATAGTTTTAGTTTTGTAGTTAACGATAATACCCCAGATTAGCGTTTCTCCTGATCTTGGGGTGTTTTTTTAGGCAAGTACCCGGTGTTGGAGGTGATCACAGTGGCGGCCATCACGGCTATCGTGGCGTTCCCGAACCCGTACACGCGGCAGAACACCAGTGAGCTGATCAAGGAGCTGTTCACGGACTGCGGGCCGCTGGAGTCGTCGCAGCTCTGCCAGTACCGCAGTCAGATGAACGGCAGTCAGGCGTATCCGCAGGGATCGGACGCCACCACGCCGGGCGTTTACTCCGCCATGTGGCAGCTCAGCCTGGCGCTCGTCTTCAAGATCATCATGACCATCTTCACCTTCGGCCTGAAGGTGAGAACAGCGTTCGCCGCTTGCGTTCGGTTCGGTGGTTTAATACCAGTGTGCTTCAATGCCACAGCAGTTCAAACGGAAACTAATTAAAGCAACACTAAGTAAGATTTTTTTTACCTTAAAATATGTTTTCAAAATGGTTTCAGTGGTTCATTAAGTCGTAACAGGGTGAAAGGCACTTCTGGATTCGCTTTGCGGCCCTTTATCTGATATAACCACGCTGTGTAAGATTGCCAGATCGGGTCGGGTTTCTGTAGTTCTAATGAGACATAAGAAAACTACAAATTTGACTTGCTTTACGTCAAGCGTTACAATAGTCATTATTTAGTTTTTCTTCGTTTCTGAGGTCGCAATACCTTCTCTGTGGACATCGTTCATTCAAAGCCGGTGCTGGATAAACAGCGAGTGTGTGTGCGACAGTAGGCTGCGGTCGGATAAATTATTTACGACAGCGGTAATGGACAATTCCACTTCCAACCTGTAGGGCGACCGCAGAGGAAGTTACTTGGTGTTGCTTTAAACGACATTTTTTGCTTTAAACGACAAATTTGTATTTATTATAAAGATCTTACACATTTGACAGTTTACATTGGAGGCAAATTTTTCTGACATTCATCTGCGAAAGACACTCGCAAAATGACTCAAAAACAGAAATAAAATGTGAATTATGCTTATTAATTATGCACCTTTTCCAAACATAGCATTTGGTCCGAGAGCAAAAGAAGATTAGTATTAAGGATTGCCTTACATCAGGGGTCTCAAACTCAACTTAACTGGGGGCCGCTGGAGGTAGAGTCTGGGTCAGGCTGGGCCGCATCAAGTATTCCACAAAAAAATAGTATTCAAGTATTCCAAAAAAGGAGCACAACTGATCCAATCTTCTCAATATTTATTATTAACGTTTCTTCTGATCTGTTCCTCTGAATTTGAACATTCCTTTCTGTACGTGATTGGTTCTTCATGAGCTGTCCTTCTGACAGTTGAAATTCATTTTACAAACTTTCTTTATCTTTTCCTTATAACACATATTTGTGGTACTTATATTTCCTCATGTCCTTTTTATTTTCAATATGATTTTGAATGTTTTTTTGGAAGGCACATTTCCTTTCATTATACTTAGAAAAACAATTATTGCTTTTGAAATACAAATATTTGCAGTCATGTCTGCCCGTCTTATTGAGTTCTTTCTACACATGTATAGTGTCTCAGGCAAATTACTGACTTTGCACAAATCAAAGCAAACCTTCTTATCAACCTGTTGGACACATATTACAAGCTCAAAATGACTATTCTCACATTGTTTTAGAGCAAGGATCTCCAACACGTCGCTCGTGAGCTACCAGTAGCTCGAGGCCTGATAAGTGGTAGCTCGCCAAGAGGCCGTTCACATATCGCGCGCTCACATATTTTGCGCGCTTAAGTTCGTTATTTCATATAGGCGCGCGGCAAGCCCGCTCATAATTGAAGCGACGCGCTCATTTTTTCCAGGCGCAGTATGTTTGTACTTCGCGGTTGTCTATGAAAACTATTGACAACAAACCCACCGTAAGCTGTCACGAGACTATCTATGGTAGCCCATAAGGGATACAAAAATAAATAAATAAAAACGCGGCACACGCAACGACGGGCCGCACTAACATTAAACTTTAATGTCAAGTAGGGGGCCACAAAATATCACCCCGCGGGCCTCAAATGGCCCTCGGGCCGCGAGTTTGAGACCCCTGCCTTACATACATGTTGATCTTTTTGTGATTGCATGTAGACAAAAACACAATAAAGAAAGGAAAAAAAACTATATACAAAAAGGGTACAATCTCGTACAAACGCAGAAAAAAACACAGAAAATGTGCTTAATTGTCATTAAAATAATGTTGCAATGCACAAAGTTGGTCCTAAAACAGGCTTTACTTACTGTAATATCATTTTCAACATAACAATAAAAGAAATGATAGACATTGCAGTCAAGCAGCCTGACACTTAGAGCTTATATTGTGTTCCCCGCTGTGTGTGTGTGTGTGTGTGTTGTGCCCAGGTCCCGTCGGGTCTGTTCATCCCCAGCATGGCCATCGGTGCGATCGCTGGCAGGATCGTGGGCATCGCTGTGGAGCAGCTGGCGTACTATCACCACGACTGGTTCCTGTTTCGAGAGTGGTGTGAGGTGGGCGCCGACTGCATCACGCCGGGGCTCTACGCCATGGTGGGCGCCGCGGCCTGTCTCGGTGCGTGTGCATGCAGCGTCTGACCTCTCTGTGTGTTTCTGTAGGGTTGCGAATTGAAATCGATTCCGTACTTGAGGTCAGGAATCGGATACTTGTTGTAAAAATTGTAATTTCGATTCCTCTTATCGATTCCTTTGTATGGAAGAGGATTAGGGCCAAGCAATAATAAAAAATAAAACCATCTCGAGATTCAAGTCATAATAATGCGAAATTAAACTCGTTTGTTGTATGACACGAAATGAATTTCCGTAAGGACAAATAAATATCTATCTATCTATCTATAAATATCGATCTAAATTTTTCGAGAAAAAAAAGTCGAAGTTGAGAATAAACTCATTAAATTTCGATAATAAAGTCGTTGTTTCGAGAAAAAAGTCGAAATAATCGCGAGAATACACATTACATTTCGAGAATAAAATCGTAGTTTCAAAAGAAAAACTCGTTAAATTTCGAGAAAAAAAGTCGAAATAATCGTGAGAATAAACTCATAAAATTTCGAGAATAAAGTCGTGTTTCGAGAATAAACTTGTTAAATTTTGAGAATAAAGTTGTGTTTCGAGAATAAACTTGTTAAATATCGAGAATAAAGTCGTTGTTCAAGAAAATACTTGTTAAATTTCGAGAGAAAAAAACTCTAAATGCAATCTTGAGAATAAACTCATTAAATATCGAAAATAAAGTCGTTGTCAAGAAAAAACTTGTTAAATTTCGAGAAAAAAGTTAAAATAATCGTGAGAATAAACCTTACATTTCGAGAATAAAGTTGTTGTCAAGAATAAACTCGTTCAATTTCGAGAATAAAGTCGTTCAATTTAGAGGAAAAAAAGTCAAAATAATCGTGAGAATAAACTCATTACATTTCGAGAATAAACACAACGACTTTGTGAGTTTATTCTCGAAACACAACGACTTTATTCTCGAAATGTAATGAGTTTAATTTCGAGATGGTTTTATTTTTTTATTTTTGCTTGGCCCTAATCCTCTTCCGTACCTTTGTGAGCATTTCAATTTGACTTTTCAAGCTATTTTTGCTATATTTGCTGCAGGCGTGTGAGACTATTAGGGCTGTCACTTTACGTTCGAAAATCGATTGCACAATCGATCGGACCAACCAACACAAGTTTCGAAAACGAAAATAGGGAATCAATTTTAACTACCTTTTTTTTTTGTAATCAAAAATGTGTTTTAGGTGGACAGATCGATACAGCACACAGAACATGTAGGATGCTGGGAAATAACAATGTCTTTTCTGTTCACCAAATGCTTTTTAATATTCACTATTACTTTAATGCAAGTGAACAAGCGCGCCGTTATTTGTTGCGTAGTGACGTGTGTGTTCAAGTAAGCCAGAAATGCGCAGATTCTGCACAATAGGATCTGCAACATGAGGACTCACGAGTTGCGTATTTGTGCTAAATCCCACAGATTTGTCTTACACAAACTTCCCCAGCAAAGCGAATAAACATAGAAACACGCCAGATTGGCTCGTGATTTCCCAGCGTTTCCCGCCAAAGTTAATTTTTACCCGCATATTGCTGACTTGTGCGTCTCAAGCGTCCTCTTTACGTTCGTCCAAATGCCTGTTAGTTGTCCGTGGATTTGCCTGTATTTGGTGATGAAAATGGAAACGTCTTTAGACATGGAAAATCGATTTTACAATCGATCCAATGAACACTTGCGTCTCAAAAATCAAACAGGATTTTTTCACAAAAGTGACTATATTGTGCAGCTCTTAAAGTGACAGCACTAATATTCCTGCTGCCGTATCTATAATAACAATAATAAAACAACAAAAGACAGAGAAAATTCACTCATTCTTGACCGAATAACTTTTGTAACTATATATGTAATGTATATTTTATTTATAAAGTGCAGTGTTATTTTACATTTACAGTTTCTGTTCCTGAAAATCTTAAAACACTGTTTATTTCAATCGTATCTGTGTTCAGTTGTATCTATTTGTTGCTATTTGCAAAAATTTTTATTTGTTCTTTTTTAATTACTGAGTGTTTATTGTCTTTAATAATGCTTTACATTATATATTAGTAAGACTAGTTGTTTTTCTATGGTATTTTTAAACCACAGGCAGATGCTCCTTGTGTAAAGGTCCTTGCACAAAATTTTCACACGTTCAAAAATAAATGCGACCTCACGTTGTCAATGACGTTTACACGCTGCCTCCGAAACTTTCGTCCCTCATAAAAAAATTCGGATCGGATTAAATTTCCTGCGGTTTTCACAATCCGAGAGGTGTTTTGACAATTCAGAGCCGCCGAATGACGAATCCGCAAAAACACATCAAGGACTCAGCCAATGACCTTTGTTCTACAGCCTGTTGATTTTGTTCATGATATTCAGCTACAATTAAATGTTTTGCAACAGAACTAAATGTGAATGATATCTAAGTTGTTGTTTTTTTTTTGCCTTATTGGAATCGAAATGAGGAATCGATAAGCAGAGTCGAAATAGGAATCGGGAATCATTCAAATTCAGTCGATTCCCAACCCTGGTGTTGTGCAGTGTGTCTAACCTGTGTGTGCTGTAGGTGGCGTGACCCGCATGACGGTGTCTCTGGTGGTCATCGTGTTCGAACTGACCGGCGGCCTGGAATACATCGTTCCTCTCATGGCGGCGGTGATGACCAGCAAGTGGGTGGGCGACGCGTTCGGCAGAGAGGGGATTTACGAAGCCCACATCCGTCTGAACGGATACCCCTTCCTGGACGCTAAGGAAGAGTTCACACACACCACGCTGGCGCGGGAAGTGATGCGTCCGCGGCGTAGCGACCCGCCGCTGGCAGTGCTGACGCAGGACGACATGACTCTCGCCGAGCTGCAGGCCATCATCTCCGAAACCAATTACAACGGCTTCCCCGTCATCGTCTCCAAAGAGTCGCAGAGGCTGGTGGGCTTCGCTCTGCGCAGGGACATAACCATCGCCATAGGTAACGGGAACACATGCACAATCATCAACACTTTCAAGTCTAAAATGTCGACGAGAATACTTTTTGTGCGCAAAAAACAAACAAAAATAACGACTTAATTCAACTATTCATTTTCTTGTCTATGGGCCTCGAGATTTCCCGTAGTGTAACAGCGCAGCGCTTCTGGGTTGCACGTCACACGCATCACACACATGACCAGCGTCGGCCAATAGTGAGCCTGCGTGTGACATACAACCCAGAAGCGCTGCGCTGTTACACTACGGGAAATCTCGAGGCCCATAGACAAGAAAATGAATAGTTGAATTAAGTCGTTATTTTTGTTTGTTTTTTGCGCACAAAAAGTATCCTCGTCGCTTGATAAACTTAAGGTTGAGCCGCTGTAGTCACTCGGACTATTTTAACGATGTATTTAATAACTTTTCTGGGCCGGCCAGTTTCAATCCCTTAGAAGCCTATGGAGGAGTGATCCAGCTCTCAGATTTAATCACAAATATCTTAATTTGTGTCCCGAAGACGAACGAAAGTCTTACGGGGTTGAACAACATGAGGGCGAGTAATTACTGACAGTTTTCCTTTTGGGGTGAACTAACCCTTTAATCTTGATCGTTATATTTTTGCGAGTACTGTCTATAGAAAAAAAAAACGAGCCGGATTGGTGCTTGCAACACGGAGCTGCTAAAGCTAATGCCCAGAGCTCCCACTCAGCTAAAACGGCAGTTATTGGGCATATTCATAAAGAGTGTCTTTGTGTCTCTAGACACAAAATGCAAGTAAAATGTCTGTCCAACATGAACAGGGCCCTTACATGACAACAAGATGCGTTTAGCAACTCAGCCATTGTTTAAACTCACCTAAATAGTGTTTTAGACGGCTAGGTGGGAACTCGGTTGTAGCCGGAAAAAGGTAAATAGCAGTGTGCAGATGGGAGGAGCGTTATAATGACTAAAAGCCACATGGATTATGTCTTTTAAATATAACAATAAAATACGTGCACACTACATAAAATAAAATAAAATCACTACATATGAGGACATGAATGCATGAACTTCAGTTCAGAGCCGCTCAAAGTCACTTCAGGAGCATTTTACTGTTTAATAAGAGACTATCGGCATTTCATAAAAACACAGAAACTCAAAGGTCTTCGCGGCAACCCATCAAAATAAAAGTTCGGTTTAACTTGACAGAAATATATTACTGTTGTACAGTAGATTTGGCTATATCTCAATGTAATAATAATACTAAAACTAATAATAAAAGTAAAAAAAAAGATTTTTTTCTAAGAAATCATCACAATTTCTCTTCCATATTTAAATTTTAACAGTAAAGCTTTGTTGTGCAGCACTTTGTTTGACCATTTTTTTTTTTTTTTCATATGATTAAAAGATAAAATGTTTTATGCCTTCATTTGATTGCCAGAAAATTTTAAATACACAGCACAAAATCTCAGATTTCTTTTTTTATATACATTTAATTCAATTAAGTAAACATGGTTATTACAATTTAATTAAACCATTTAAATGCACTCCAGAAAACTTAAAACAGAAAACACAGAATTTGCTAAAAAAAAAAAAGCGGAATTTGATGGGAAAAAAACGTATTTCATAGTCTTTGTTAAACTTTAAATAAATTGTTAAATTTTCAGCGTCATTACTCCAGTCTTCAGTGTCACATGATCCTTCAGAAATCATTGTGCTGCTTTTTTTTTCTTATTTACTGACCCAAACTTTTGAATGGTACTCTAAATATAAAGGTGACATTTGAAATGTTCAAAACCTCTTCCGTTTTTTGGGGGTTTTTTTTAAAACAGTACGTGCACTTTCAATGTACTTACAGTGTACTTACCCACAAAAGTACTGGGTAATGTAAGGTAACTACATGGGTTAAGTTCAGGGTTAGTATCTAGTAAGTGTCTTAACTACAATAAGTACTTAGTGTGTTCATGCGAAACAGGACTGTAAAATAACTTGAAATATGTTGTTTCTTCTCTCTTCAGAAAACACCCGTCGTAAGCAGGAGGGAATAATGCTGAACTCGCGGATCTATTTTACCCAGCATGCCCCGACCCTTCCCGCAGACAGCCCGCGGCCGCTGAAGCTGCGCAGTATTTTAGACATGAGCCCCTTCACCGTCACCGACCACACGCCGATGGAGATCGTGGTGGACATCTTCCGCAAACTCGGCCTGCGCCAGTGCCTCGTGACGCACAACGGGTGAGTGACCTCCGCGACCCTCAGTCTCTCTCCTCCTCCTGTGTTGTGTTGCGAATGGATTTCAACTAACATATGTTCCATCAGCAGACACACACACACACACACATCTTCTGCTGATGGGATTCATGGTGTCATTCATCTAGGAACTTACACACTTTTACACTCGTGCTGCGGTTTCTAAACGGGATGGACGATATTCTATATTCACAGTGATTTTACTTGTGATGCACGAATCATTTTTAAGGTTTTTCTTTTTCGTTTAAGTTTATTAACAAGTGTGTCATTAGATTAGATTGACAATCTATAAGTATAAACAAATATAAACACAATTAGAGTTCGATGAGAACATTCTTTTTATGCTCACCAAGACTAGACTGGTGCAAATTCAGATTTGCATCACAGGAATAAATTACATTGTAAAATATATTCAAATACCAAACAGTTATTTTAAATGGTAATAATATTTGACAATTGTTTATGGATTTATTTTATTTTTGAAACTATTAAATGCAGCCTTGGTGAGCATAAGTCTTCTTCCAAAAACATTTAAAAAATATTAAACACTTTTGAATAAAAATGTATTTTCCATGAATCAGTTTTAAATCTGTGATTTTAGCGATTTATTTATGCCATTATCCAACATGGCTACTGTGACTTTTTTCTTTTATATGTTTGTATGTGTATAATATATATATATATTAGTGCTGTCAAATCGCATCTAGCATAAAAGTTTGTAAATATGTGTGTATATATATATATATACACTCACCGGCCACTTTATTAGGTACACCTGTCCAACTGCTCGTTAACACTTAATTTCTAAGCAGCCAATCACATGGCGGCAACTCAGTGCATTTAGGCATGTAGACATGGTCAAGACAATCTCCTGCAGTTCAAACCGAGCATCAGTATGGGGAAGAAAGTTGATTTGAGTGACTTTGAACGTGGCATGATTGTTGGTGCCAGAAGGGCTGGTCTGAGTATTTCAGAAACTGCTAATCTACTGGGATTTTCACGCACAACCATCTCTAGGGTTTACAGAGAATGGTCCGAAAAAGAAAAAACATCCAGTGAGCGGCAGTTCTGTGGGCGGAAATGCCTTGTTGATGCCAGAGGTCAGAGGAGAATGGCCAGACTGGTTCGAGCTGATAGAAGGGCAACAGTGACTGAAATAACCACTCGTTACAACTAGGGATGCTCATATTGACCGTTTAACCGTTAACCGAAAGTAAAAAAATTGACCGATTAATACTATCAGTTAAACGGTTTAAGTTATTTATTTTTTATTTTTTATTTTTTTTATTTATTTAGTTTGCTGCATGGTTAAAAAAAATACTATATAGCCTATATTTGTAAACTCACTGGGCGCGTCGACACGCGCAACCGCACGTGCCTAGAGACATATTTCACTGAGCAAGCAAAATGAAGCGAGCGAGCGAAAAGAAGTAGCCTACTGTGTGGGACCATCTCGACAGAAAGGGCGACGAAGTTACTTGCAAAATATGCTACGCGGTATTAAAATACAGCAGTAGTTACAAGTTAAATGCAAATATATCTTGCGAAGCAAACATCCACAAGCAAATGAAAGTCGCTTCACGAAGCTGGCCATTCTAGCGAGACGTTATCTCTGTATTCCCGGGACATCTGTGCCATAGGATCATGTGTTTTCGGCCGCGGGTCGAACTCAACAGGCTGCGCTCCAGACTAACCCCACATCATGTAGACATGTTACTTTTTTAAATAAAAACTAGACAATATGTGGATTGAGGTAGGCCTGCTATTTTTATTTGACGAAAAAACTTAGTCTGGAGGGGGAAAATTGCATTTTTTTCAAAGCTTCAAACGGATTCAGTGTTTTCTTTTTGTCATCTTAATTTGTTAACTATTTAAGAAATAAAATAAAGAAAAAACATAAAATAGGCCTACACTATTTTATGTTTTTTATTTATTTTATTTTATTCTGTTGTCACTGTCAAGTGCGTGAAAATTGAATGTGAATCCAGGTTCTGTTGTTGATCTGCTCTGCTGTTTGCACGTTAAAATAAACCTGTGGGGGGAAAAACGGGTCACAGACACTCAATTTTATTTTTATTTAAATTAATAGGCTATTATAATCTTATCAGTTAACGGTTAATAATCGGATAACGAGTGTCGGTTGTCGGTCGGGAAAATTAACCGAAATGAGCATCCCTAGTTACAACCGAGGTATGCAGCAAAGCATTTGTGAAGCCACAACACGCACAACCTTGAGGCGGATGGGCTACAACAGCAGAAGACTCCACCGGGTACCACTCATCTCCACTACAAATAAAAAAAAAGAGGCTACAATTTGCAAGAGCTCACCAAAATTGAACAGTTGAAGACTGGAAAAATGTTGCCTGGTCTGATGAGTCTCGATTTCTGTTGAGACATTCAGATGGTAGAGTCAGAATTTGGCGTAAACAGAATGAGAACATGGAACCATCATCCCTTGTTACCACTGTGCAGGCTGGTGGTGGTGGTGTAATGGTGTGGGGGATGTTTTCCTGGCACACTTTAGGCCCCTTAGTGCCAATTGGGCATCGTTTAAAATGCCACGGCCTACCTGAGCATTGTTTCTGACCATGTCCATCCCTTTATGGCCACCATGTACCCATCCTCTGATGGCTACTTCCACCATGTCACAAAGCTCTAATCATTTCAAATTGGTTTCTTGAACATGACAATGAGTTCACTGTACTAAAATGGCCTCCACAGTCACCAGATCTCAACCCAATAGAGCATCTTTGGGATGTGGTGGAACGGGAGATTCGCATCATGGATGTGCAGCCGACAAATCTGCGGCAACTGTGTGATGCCATCATGTCAATATGGACCAAAGTCCCTGAGGAATGCTTCCAGCACCTTGTTGAATCTATGCCACGAAGAATTGAGGCAGTTCTGAAGGCAAAAGGGGGTCCAACCCGTTACTAGCATGGGGTACCTAATAAAGTGGCCGGTGAGTGTATATGTGTGTGTGTTAGGGGTGGAACGGTACATGTATTCGTACCGAACCGAAACGGTACGGGCGTCACGGTTTGGTGCACGAATTTACACGGAGAATACACGGTATAAAAATAAATAAAACTCGCGTGAAAATTAATTAATGTAATGCGGAACTACTGTTAGATACGCGGGTTCTTTAGGGACACATAATCTGTACCATCGGCTTAGCTCTAAACCCTATGCTCTGAACGCGCGTTCGCTTCAAACGTTGGCTTATACGCGTGTCCTATTCGCTTTGGACTAGCGTCGAACTAGACGCGAATTTAACGCTATATTCGCGTTTGGTGTGACCGCATAATGAACAGGCAGCGATGTCAAGATTGCAATGCTGGAGTGTGTGTGTTTGTGTGTGTGAGAGAGAGGCGCGGCCGCGATCGAACAGTGGAAACATAAAAAAACATACTCCGTCATTTTGTTCATACAGATCATTAAACCTGCAAAGTGTTTACTTATATTTGTGTACACTCGCAATAAAACACAACATTGTGCTTTTGTCACACTGTAAACTCTTCTCAAATTGTAACCTACAACTGTCACCCAACCAAAATCTCTCTCTCTCTCTCTCACACACACACACACACACACACACACACACACACACACACACACACACACACACACACACACACACACACACACACTGTTTTAAAAGCAAAACATATTTATCCAACTCCATTTCAAAACAGTCTGTGGGTCCCATCTTTTGGACATTCATCATATTGCATTGGTTTTCATTTCTCGTCCTCGGAGCACTAATCTTACACACTCTACATTGATTAAAAAAGAAAATCAAATGCGTTATTAATGGTAGTATTATTTTATACAGAAATCAATTATTTATAATTCAGATGAGAATAATGTTACATTGTTAATTAATAATGTTAATTAAAATTAAGGAAAACAAATATATTGATCTGAGATATAGCAAATTAATTTTAAATTAATTCAGGTACAATTACCAAACACATCGCAAGGTCTTTTTGTCTTTTTATTAATTTAATTAATAAACTAATTATATAAAACTATTGTCAGTGCACTACAAATAAACTGGTTCTATGCCTTTATATAATAAAACTTATATAAAAAATACAATGCCTTCTGCATTTTTTTTTTTGCTTTTCCCTCCATTGTACCGAAATCGTACCGAACCGTGATGTCTGAACCGAGGTATAAACCGAACCGTGACTTCTGTGTACCGTTCCACCCCTAGTGTGTGTGTGTGTATATATATATATATATATATTGTGTGTGTGTGTATATATATGTGGGTGTGTATCTATATATGTGTGTGTGTGTATATATATGTGTATGTGTGTATATATATATATATATATATGTGTGTGTGTTTATTATATATTTACAAACTTTTATGTGAGATGCAGTTAATCGATTTGACACTACTTTTATATATTGCTATAAATGTGTATATATATATATATATATACTTAGCAAATAATAAGATATATATTCAGATATGTATTGAATATTGTCAAAGGTTAAAAAATAGCTATTAATATCTAGTCTTTGCATACAAAAAAAATCGTCAGATAAGTTTTTTTCACGGTCCTGACAAACCAGTAAGGTATAAAGATGATCATATTTTGCGTGTCATGTTTATATCCGTTTAAAGCGTGAGTTTCTCCTCATTGCAGCTAGAGGGAGTCTTAAGCTGAAAGGGACTCGGATAAAGCCGTTTCTCCACAGAGATCCTGCAAATGCTCAGTTTCCCAACAACAACAAGATAAAAGCTAAACAAATCGCAGAGGAAAAGGTCTGTTAGCAAGATGCAAAACCAGACCATTCAAATGCGTCTGCAGCCAAAAATGCATCTGATAATAATATTTTCACTTGCTTTAATGCAAAATACAACTGACTAATAGTATATACTTAGCATTAAAGCAAGCAATATAACTTCAACAACACTTGTTTTAAAGCAAAACAGCCTGAAACTAGCCATACGTCTGCATTGTTTCATT